GCCGTGAATAAAGTCGTTGTTCTCAGAAACCGGCTCTATTTTCTTCTTCTGCCTGCCCGTCAGAGTATAATGAGTCTGAAGAGATGGTAGCGTTAATGAAGGTGAGCAGGACAAACATCCTCGACTATGGTGGATAAGGCTTCAACCGGCGACTACAAGTAATGTGAAGTATTCATTCTTCGCCCTCAGATAAGGCGCGTTTCTTACACTTCGGAATACGTGCTACTTATGTGCGTAGGTAGTAGTGTTTATTATTTGACTTTTTGCGTTTATGGCGTCTAGAGATGCATCGCATCAATGCTGCAGAATCTGCGCTTCTCGCACCATCTCAGTAAGAGCATCTGGGGTCGCTGGTGCTGTAATTGGTGACGCTAAGAATGCAAGTCATGATATGGAGGTACAGCAAGATGTCGTCTGCAGTGCAAATGCGAAAGACCTTACTTTAGCCAAGATACTTGGCTATTTCAAGGGAGGCAGAAGCAATGGAAGATCTAGAGCTCCTCAGGCTTATTGCTGCATCCGTGGTGTTGATCACTGCTGTCTTTGCTTCTCTCCCAAATGGTCAAGAACTTTCCATCAGCTTTTGCAGAAGTGTTTTCCGCACCACCAGCAGCAGATGTAATGTCCGGACCTACAGGGATACTTGAGACCCGGGGAACAGTTGACTTGGAGTGATATTTGACCCACTGCGTCTGCTCTTGTTGCAAATGAACGATTAGAGGTCTGCATAGTGTGTCAGCAACCTCATTGCGTGACCCACCGATGTGGCGGATGTCTGAGGTGAACTGCGAAATGTAGTCCAAATGGTGAATGGCTTCAACTTGTCAGAGTTTGAATTCAAGGCAGAGGAGAGAGGTCTAGGGTCAGAGAAGACGACGAAATCGCTGCCATTGAGGAAGTGCCGGAAGTGTTTCACGGTAAGATAAACAGCCAGAAGCTCCCGTGTATATGACCTTTAGACACCATCTCGAAAATATTTATCGAATCAGCTGAAGATAGGTTCCATGATTAAAACAATTGTGGTAGATATTCCAGGGGTTCCACTTGGCCTCCTGTCGTCGATATTGAAAACAAAGTTAAACTAAAACAAGTCGCTTTCTCTGTTAAGATAAATCTTATATGGGGGTCAGGATTGTAGCCTAGAGCTGGCCTCTACCACTAGTTTGCGCGGAAATCCTCTTAAACTATGTGTGACCGGGGCAAAATTGGACACACTAAAATTCTTCTCTAAGAGAGAAATTCAGGCATGGAACGCTCTGCTCTCGGAAATTGTCATGCCTATCTATGGACACGTCTAAATTAAAGTTAAACCAGTATAGCCAACACGCCCTCTGAATTAGACCTACGCGACGCCACAGGTCACCGTCGAGTAATTACATGTTATAAAAAGCAACTGTTCGCTACTTTTCAGTAATATGTTTGTTTACAATAGCTACTTACATTTTCCTCGTATATGAATTGATGCAATCGCCTCCACCCCCTAAGCTACGCGACCCGACTGCTGAGCATCGTGGTGGGTCCCTATGTTTCGTCATCTGGTCAGTAGACTCGGTAACCAGCAAGGGCGTATGATGGACGCATCTCCGACACTCGGTGATGTTCTCGTGACCTCTGCGGTCTTCTCCTCGTGTGACCCTTAGGATATTGATAAAAACCGTGATGAACCCCTCCTCGCATGTTTCAAACACTCTCAGCAGCAGGCCATCCGATTCCCATATATCTTCCCCCCCTCCACCCCACGGGTGGAAGTTTTTCTCTTAAAAATCCCTCAAATGGCATTTAAACCCCTAGAATTTCTGAACAATGCCTATGGAGTTTTTCACTGTCTGCTCCTTTTATGCAGTTCCATTACTGGCAACGCTACATGTTGTGCCGAACCAATGCATATCACAGCTGCTCTGTACCCATAGGGAGTTCAAATGTATTCACCTAAATTTCCCTTAATAAAACCTGAGCTGACTAAAGGCCTGTATTGATGGTTCTGCCTGCCCTGGAAAATTTCTACTGTTGCCCTTCTGCGAATTTGTTAATAATATGTTCCTTTCCTGATTTCAAAAAGCCTCATTTTCTTCATTTCACTTCATGAGTTCCCTAGCTTGTAAAGTCTGACAAATAAGAAACGCCGGTGACTGACCCACCGCAATATCTTCAAAGTCAATTTATAGGCTGTTAAGTGCAACCCAAGGCCTTGTTCAAAAAGGAACATTGTAATTATTTGACCCATTGTAGAACTACTTATCGGCTAGTTACCTCTTTAAGGATTGTGATCTAACGTGGGGAAGGTCCCTCCGCTATTAAGCGAAATTGGTTGGATTGAGATCTTTGAATGAAGGTTATGTAGTTAGGCCATTTCCCAAATGCAAAATATTAATGGCCTATATTGTTATCTTATCGTAAAGGACTAAGGTCACCTCAGTGGGCATTTCCAAATGAAATATGGATGTCAGGACGAGGAATCATTCAAGCCTGTCTGAAGTTCTGTAATACTGTATAGTATTCCCTTAGTTTCTAGTCAATCGCTAAATCCCAAAGTCTGTCTGGTTGAGAGATAAGAATTTCCGCCAAAGGCTAGGGAAACATTGTCTGTCAAACCCAACCCTATGTTTTGCAACACCGCCGGCTCGAACGCGCGATGCTCTTACAACTGCGTCATGGTCTCGATATCCCGCAGATTTCAATCGGAAATGTTAAGAGCAGTGGATGTGCGCTCACTGATCGGTTACGCAACTCATCGTCCCGTGGTACATCGAAACTCACGCTTGGATCCAGCCCGCAACCGCTCAGTGTCCATTAGCAACAAAGAAACCTCAGCCGGTAACAGTGACTTCTGGCATTTTAGCTGTCATCAGCCAGACTCAGGTGTTGCAACACCTGCGGCTCAAACTCACCTGCCCATTGCTTAAAAACCCAACACTCTAATCACAGAGTGTCTCTCTGAGTGTTGATCCATCACAGCTATCTCAACTGGCTCGTAAACTTCAATACTGCTCTATGATCCTACGACACCATTTTAGTGACGTTGCATGCTAAGCCCCACATGAGGTCCCACGATTGCATTCCTAGCGTGCCTCTGGGGCAGGCCGCATGGCTATCTCTCGTGTCCACTAAGCACGTGTGCACCAGAACGTATGAAAGGCAGGTAAAGATCATGAACATTTGTTCAACCTCTCTCTGTCCTAACTGGCCAATCACTTTTTAAGGCCGTTTCACAAAAGACCTTATTGCGGTGACTGCTCACGTT